GTGGTGGCCAATTCACGGGTGCATCATTACCTCTACCTATCCATCTGTCTGGGTACTGTTGGTTTAAAAAATTCCTAACATCCACCGAAAAATGTGGTGGAGCTCCATCGTGCATAAACCACATATCTACCCGATGTTGGAGTGGTAAATCTTCCAACAAATTTGGCAACGTATTTCGTAGATGTTGTAAATACATGTCTCCTGTTAATCTTTGTGGAAGTATGACAGGACCAATTATAAAATTTCCTATTATTCCAGCCCAAACGTTGATTTTGAATTCGTGTTGAAAATGGTTTATTTTAATGGAATGAGGATTTTCAATTGCATAAACGTGTTCATTATGAAAATTAGTTATTCCTCTTCTCGTGAAACAGGCTTCATCAGTGAACAAAATATTCTTTCCAAAGTTCAGATTCATTTCTCTTTGCAAATTAATGAACCTACAAAACATCAGACGACTTTGTGAATCATGGATTAATAAATCTTGAACTGGCGTCTTGTGGTATGGGTATAATAATTGTTCTCTTAGTACTTCATGAACGGCATTCCTAGAAACTTCTAGTTCATTACTTATCCGTCTAGTACTCAATTCTGGATTTTCTTCAATACGGTCTAAAATTTCTACTTCGACTTCGGGAATCCTTACATAACGCTGTCTTCCATAATCACCAGTTCTAGGAGCAAAATGACCGGTCTCCCGAAGACGTCTCTCAACTGCAGCAAAGGTTGGGTGGCTTGGTACGCGACGATTTGGAAACCTTGCCGAATACACCCTCACACTCTCTCGACCATTTCCTTGACAATATCCGAATACCAATAACATATCGGTGTATTCTTCATTGGTGTATTGTACGGCCATGATAAATCAGAAAAGTCCGATATCAACAATCAACGTCAATAAAACTCGACAAATCAACACAGATGAAACTATGGAAACCAAGAATGTGAATATCACTGTTTTCGAGCAGATAATAATAGTCTTCAGAAAAAAAAACCAGTGCTACTTATTTTCAATAGAAATAACCTATGCAAAAAGTACATCCCAACTTTTTGCGTTGTATAAATCTTTGTATACGTGAAAATGGTGAACATTTTGAACAATTTTTATGAAATATCTGTTAATCGTTTTATTATTGATTATGCTCTTAATCACTGAAATTAAAATTTTGTCGAAACCATTCGACCATTTGTCAAGAGTACCTTTTTTGTAGTGAATGAGTTGAACAATCTAGATTTCATATTGAAACTAACTTTTTCCATTGGCGTAGGAGTTTTAGATGTTTATTTACTGAAAAAAGCAAGTTCTACGCCCATGGAATGATATTCATTATGATTAGGATTTCAACTTTTTGCGTCGTATAAATCTTTGTTCACGCGAAAATAGTGAACATTTTGGAAAACTTTCATGCAATATCTATCAATCGTTTTATTATTTAAATATGCGCGAAATCACTAAAACTTAAATATTGTCGAAACCATCAGAGTAATCGAATTTTATCAAGAGTACCCTTTTTGTAGTGAATGATTTGGGCTATCTAGATGTCATACTGAAACTGATTTTTTTTCATTGGCGTAGAAGTTTTAGATGTTTATTTCCTGAAAAAAACAAGTTCTACGCCCATGGAATGATATTCATTATGATTATGATATGAGTTTCATTGCCCGATGAGTCTATGCCAACGTACCAAATTTGAAAAAAATCTCATGAGCCGTTCCAAAGTTATGAAGCAAAATCGATTTGAAAATTTCAACTTCAGAGCCGTCTAGCGCCCAAACTAAGCAACTTTTTACTGAGGTAAGTTTGCTTGTATCGAATTGTTTTGGTCTGAAGAATATGTGGTAGCTTTTTGTAAAGACCTTTTAAGGACACCCTGTATATGATATGTTGGCATAGCTTCATTTGGTAAATGAACCTATATATCATAATCTTTATGAATATCATTCCATGGGCATAAAACTCGATTTTTCCAGTAGATGAACATCTGAAGATCTGGAACATGTATGGCAATGAAAAGAAAGGATTTGAGTATGGAATTTCTAATGTGTAACTCATTTACTACAAATAGAATACTTTTGAAAAATTCAGTTACTCCCATGGATGTTCACCTATATACGACGCAAAAACAATTTTTGTTGTTTCTTCAAGCTACAGTAGGTATGTATATTGCGCTCCACAACTTTGTACTGAGGTAAGTACGTATGCTCCGAGGTGTGCTTGTATCGAATTGTTTCGGGAGGAAATATTGTGGTAGATTTTTGTGAAGACCTTTTAAGGACATCCTGTGTACAACAACAATTTGATATTATATTGATATCATTTTTTATTGACCATATAATTCTTTCTTGGAATAAACGCAGACAATTCGGTTCCAAATGGAATATAATAACAAATTTTAAGAAACAATAAAAAAATGAAGTAAATATTGCCGGTGTGCAGCACAATAATTCTGTAGCTGATGATAGCATTGTTTTTGTAAACAAAAAAATGTATTGAGATTTTCAACAAACGAAGTGTTCATATGTTGAAAAAGGTAGGAGTGCAGGATTTTCAGGAGGGGCCATGTCATTCCTCCTGGCCCCCCCTTGTTATTAAAAAATAACGACGACGTCATGTGATATATTTTTGAATCCAGTTTTTCATGGAGATTCCAGAAATTGAATAATATATAGGGTGTTCCATTCGAAAAAATTATCGCGTATCTATGTCATTATTACACAAACGTGGACCACACTGTATATTCAATTTGCCCTTATTAATGTGGTAAATGTATATTGAAAATCGGCCTGGTTCGGTAGATTCTCCAGAAATAGTTTGGCTCAAAATGAATTTATTGAGTATATACTTGAAAGGGTTTTAATAAACGTACAGTATAGAAACATTTATATATGGGCAACACTATATAAATGAAAATAATGGAAGGAGACAACCCACATGATATATTTATTATTGAACTTCTCTATCATCTGATCTCGCGACCTTTGTTTCACAAGCCCTCTAGGTGCTTCTATCCAGACCCAGAGTCCACCCCTGTCTCTCCCACATTTGTTTCATGCTTCATGTTATTGTTTCCGTTAACTTGCAATCGTGACAGTGTTGCCGCAATCGATGCCATAATCGTTTTGGAGCTAGTAAAACCAAGAAAAACTCACAGAGCAAATATTTCGGAAACTAATGCAACGATGAGATACTATACTAGTCAGTGGAAGAAGTCAGCTAGGCTACTCAATAAAGTCCACATTGACCTACTGCAAATTGGCTTCTCAATAACAAGTGTGCAAGCGTTACTATATCTCCAACAAATTTTGTAGGAACATAACGCCAATTGGATACCATATAGTATTATCTTGACTTAGTTTCTCAGAATTCCGAATTATGATATCTCGGAATTATCACATTCCGACTCATTATGTCGAAATTCTGACTTAGTATCTCGGCAGTTCGACTCATTATCTCGGAATAATTCACTTCCGACTTATCATGTCGAGATTGCGACTTATTAGTATCTCAGAATAATTCCCATTAGTAATTCCTAGATATGAAGTCGGAATTCCGAGAAAATAATTCGGAATCAATCTATTCCGAGATAATAAGTCGCAATTCCCAGATACTTAGTCGGAATTTTGACATAATAACTTGGAATTAAATAACTCCGGGATATACTATGCCGGAATTCCTAGATACTTACTTACATGGAAATGAAAAATAGGATATAGAGATACAATGAATACTTATACTTACATGGAAATGAAAAATTCATTGTATCTATATCCTATATCATTGTTGGTTTTTCTAGAACTAATTCATGTATTCGGTTGATGATGGGCTTATATAAGCCCTAAACATGTACCTCTATGTGATCGATCTCTGATCGTCAAATAAATATTGTGGATATGACTTTGGGTTTCTTCATGTATGAAATAGATATCTACCAATAATAAAATGTACCTACATCGACATTTTGATTGTTCTCTAGAGATACGAGGTACTTTTATCACGTTTTTTCGTTATACCTAAATACATTTCGACTTCGACAGTGGTGCGGCGCATTTCTCTAACGGCACCTCTGTAACTTCAGGTTTTCTCATAAGTATAAAATTTTCTCAGTCCTCATAATTAGAACTGATATAAACATATAAAAATACAATATTTTGGTGAAGTTGGAGGGTGTCATATTATATAAAGACTTGGCAACACAGCTTTTACAATTTCAATAAGTGAACATATTTTTCTAGCAGATATCTTTTCAAATCTGTCTTTCTAATACATCATCTGGTTTCTGGTTGTATAACTGGTTGCAGAGCTGCTGGATGCTGGCACAATCCCCTCTACGGCAATGGAATATCCGGCGCCGCTTTGTCACATGACAAGTAAATAGCAACTTGTTGATTAGGTATCACTTGTTGACGAATCAAAAATGTTATTCACGATTCATGCATAGAAAGGCGCTAAGGAATCTTACCATGTCCTCGTGTCCATATGATTCGATAATTTACCTTTTCCAGAGATCTGCCTTTTCCTACATTTTCAATTTTACATTCAATGCTTCAGAAATTAAAGTAGGTACCGAATGATAATTCTGGGTGACGTTATCGTTAAGCCTGCGATCATTAGAAAGAAAGTAGATAATTGATTACTATTCAGCTTGTTTGTGGGTAAACAAATACTAGAAGCGGAAAGGTTCCCAACAGCAACGAGAATCAAGGTCTCAATTTTGCCTCCAGCCAGTTAAATGTGATGTCATAATGACATCACCGGGAAACGTTGCGGCTCCGCTAAGCGCTGCTTAGGCATTAAAATTTTAACATTGGGTATTGGTTGCGAAATGGTGGTATTTCAGAAAGATTCTTGACACTTGTGGATATTCAATGAGATTGTCCATTGTTAAGATTGTTGCCAATTCGAATTCGCCATTACTGTGCTCTAGAGACTATAGAATCAATAGTAGTTGACGTCACGGTGGGTGCTTGTCGGAGCGGCGCTATCAGTGAGCGGGGGGATCAGTGCACTTGTAACTTGGGTAGTAGTGTCATGTATTCGCGCAAGTGTCTCGAACTGTCTTATGTTTTGTGATTGATGTTTTGTGAAAAGTGCTGCGCTGAATCTGGCGTAAGTTCCAAATATTCAGGTCTACTTTTTAATTGGAATGATCGAATTGAAGAAGGTTTGTATAGGTTAGATTGATACTGCTCCCTATTGCATTCGATTAATGTGCTAAGTGGCCTTCAACGGCGTTTTACTGTTGACATTGAAGGTCTTTACGCAAAGCTTGCAAAAGGCCAATAGAGGTCAACTATTCAAATATTATACCATACCACCCATACCTATACAAATAATTGAAATAATACAAAACGTATAAGGTATTGGCACTGAGAAAAAATATCATACTTTTGATTCCATATCACCGGCTGTACTGCGACCTGTGACCTCTGTTGAGCGCGCCAGATAGGACAACAAACGACAATATTTATTTTGGTTTTTCACTCAACAGCTCCAAAACTGACTGTCACATAATACCAATTGCGAATTTGCTATTGACATTATTCAGAATGCTTGTTCAATCCACTTTGTTTATCTTTTTCTACATATTTTTGCTGCAGAACTCGACTCAAAATTAATGTTATTCTGTGGTAGTCGCTAAACAGGTTGAATCACTTATCTTCAACGAGTGAAAAAAAAACAAAATCCCTTGAAAGCCGTATACACAGTAATTATTGTTAGGAAAGAAACGAAAGAAATCGTTTTTTTACCAGCGTGGAGATGTGTGTGATGCGTCAGAAATGCAACAGATGGAGCATGCTGTTGCGTATCGTATGTTGCAGGAATTCCGGCGTAATTCTTGCCGATTTCTGATACCACCTTACTACCTTAGGTACCTTAGATCTTAAAATCTAAATCTATGGTTCAACTCATCACAGTTGAAAGGATAATATACTGTGAACTCAACGAACTGAAGGACTTACCCTCGTACCATATTACGTACCAACCAAAATGTTAATACCACCATACTCAATGATACCATTCAGAACTCACCTGTATTATAAAATATTTGTACTTTACCAAAATCTCCGAAACCTCAATGAACGCCGTTTCTCTTCTAAGGTGATTCGCACTTTGCAGCGTTTTTTTTTTGTGGAGCGCACGAAAGGGAATTCCTATAATCTATAATGTTCGAAGACCGCACATCTCGCAGTTTTATTGGTGTCGAGTTAACTGAACTTAGCTGCCCTGTTTATTTATTAATTTGTTTAGTTCTCAATGAAATCTAAAAACTTCACAAACGATTTCCACAAAATTCTCGAAAATTCTTAATCACACGACATATTTCGCTAACACAGTAGCTTCATCATCAGGTGACATAATGGTACAATGAAATGTTAATACTGACCATACTTAGCATTCACAATTTTATTAAGAAAAATAATCTTCAAAAACACGAATCTCAACATACCACGTGATGGGAATGGTTCGAAAGATTTAGGCGCTTCCTCACATTGTTCACTCGAAATTCTTTTACTGCACAATGAGCTCAAAGAATTAGCTGATTAATCCACAGCATTCGCAGATGAATGATAACATTTCTTTTCTTTGAACTGATAAATTAACCTAGAGTGCCTCAAACATCTCATTTGACGCTCTTCGAAGAGTGAAAACAGTGGGCACGCTTGTCATGTTGTTGAACAGCTGAACAAAAAACATATGAGACTTAAATATATATTTTATAAGAGATGGAATGTAATTTTTCTGTACCCCTTCACTGAAAGAATGCAGACATAATATTATTTCAAACCCTTACAGTGTCGTAACATCAAAAGGCACATGATGCTCATTTTGTAGTTATATATCACTATTATACCATTTCAATGCATTTCCATGAGATGAATATTGGAATTTGACGCTTTATCAAACAATCTAAATTATGTCTCCTTGTCTTTGGGCAACTCAAATAAACGGTAGGTAATCATCTTTTTGCAATTCGTTACCGATCAAGACATATTCGGAAACATATTCGCGGGGACGGCTATTCAATTTTCTGAACTGATGTTTTTCAATCTGGAATGGTAAGACAATTCGGAAATATCAGTGGTGACAAGCGTGTCCTCTTCCTATAAAAAGGCGTGAAATGAGATATTCGAAGTACTCTAGTCAACGGGGAGGACACGCTCCGAAATTATGTACACCTATTGCCGTAATTTTTACATTTCTGATATTGCCGACTAGTGCCTAAATGCTGAAAATTATTATCAATACGATATATCTGTATTCCGCTTAAAAATTCCTTTATACTGTCTGATTCTTAAAATTGCCAAATAGTAGATAAAATATTCCATACACACACTACTGATAGCAGCTCGGATAGCAGACAATTCAAATATCCAAATTACCCAGAATGTTTTGAAGCAAATTTTTGTTCTTAAAAACAAATATGTTAATTCCCTTGAAATACTAGTTTGAAAATATATATATTTTTTGCTCTACCCCCCTCTCCCCACCAAAAAAAATATCTACGCCCTTGCTATAAGGGTTGAAAGCAAGAAGGTCCAGGCTCGAATCGTCGAGGAGGGGGGATTATAGGGGTAATTTGAGTAATGGGGGTAATTACTTCCCCCCCCCCCCCCCAAAGAATAATAACTTGTAATAGATATAATATAGACATTTATGGCTGTTTGATGTGTGATTTGTTGGTCCAAAGAAAATTAGTTTTGTTTCTAATAATATATAATATCCAGGGTGTTTCAAAATATCAGGGACTCATTTTCCATGTTGTCAAAATGAAACTTTTTTTGCTATGAATATTTGATTCTGTAATATTTATATATTTAGGTGTCCGCAAACCTAACTTCACCGATCAACAGAGCTTTATACTGGCCGTTATATTGGTTTAAAGGTTGAATTATTTTTTTTATTTTTCAACAGTTTATAACAAGTTAAGGTTCGATAAGTTTTTCATTAGTTAGGTTATGTTTGGAAACTAACTCGGAAACTAACTATGTAGCGTTTTTTGGTTTCATTGAGATAAAGGTTCCTTCCTTTTGTTAAAAATTCCAATTAAATCTAGCTAATTATTAAAAAATATATTGTTTTCTCGATAACGTTCGCAGATGCGTGATAAATCAAAAGGGATAAAAAAGTTCAAGAACAAAACAGAGAACTCATTTCGCATCTCACGATCTACCAGTGGCGCACCACAAAAAAGTTTATGGAGCGAAAAAGGATCAGATTCCTGAAAAAATTACTAAGAGAGCTAGGTATAAGGAGAAGAAGATAAAAGTCTTGAAATTTTAACGCTCTGTGGATCGGTAGCGGAGCTTTGTTGACAAATTTTTATGAAAAAAAGTCTTATTTTGATCTGAAAAATAGGCCCCTAAAATTTAGATACTGAATTTTGGAATAACCCGGAATAACCTATTTGTGGTTCTCTATGATTTCGATTTCATTACCTGAACCAAAAAGACATCCAGGAATTCCAAGGAAATCCAACGAATTCCAAGAAAATCCAAGGAATTCCAAGGAAATCCAAGGAATTTCAAGGAAATCCAAGGAATTCCAAGGAAATTTGAGAAGTTTCAAGGAATTCCTAGGAAATCTAAAGAATTCCAAGGAAATCCAAGGAATTCCAGTTGTTTGTAGCCCAGGAATATACCGCATTTCACCCAAAGAATTCTAGGAAATTCAAGGAAATATCAATGAATTCCAATTAAATCCAAGGAATTCTAAGGAAATCCATCAAGGAATTCCAAAGAAATCGAATGAATTCCAAGGAATTTCAATGACTTCCAGGGAATTCCGAGGAATTCCAGTTGTTTGTACACCAGAATTCTCGTCTTTAAAAAAAAAGGTGCTATTGTTTCATATCGTTCGGATGTATCATTTTCGAGAAAAATAGATTCAAGAATATTGTTACATCTCACCTGTATCATGAAGAACATTGCAATGAATCGTATTGGATATGGAAAAAAGGCACAAAAATTGAAATAGTTTTTCATCATCATTCTCCTATTTTACGCGCACTTTCTGACATAGTTGATTTAATATGATTTGGAAATTGGCAACGTTATGTACTTATAAAATGCGACAACACAATATTTTTTAAATCGATTTCACTCGAAAATGATACATCTGATCGATATGAATTAGGAGCTACTATTTTCTGTTAGGAGGAGTGAGGAGTGGATTTTTATAATCGGATATTAAATTGTCGAAAAATATTCATACAAAAATGTTTGCGCAATATTCAATGTAGTCCCATCCAGTATTATACACTCATGAATGAAATTTTGGAATGATTTCATTTTCACTGCATTGGGCATGGCAAGTTTAGTTCTTGTACAGAAATGCATCATTTCATCATATGGCATTTCGGAAATATTGGTGAATTTTAGACATACATCAGGGTGGTCCAACGAAACCTTTCCATCCCGATTTCAGGGCTTTAGAATGAAACTGCGGAAAAACGCTCGGATCCGATGATTTTTGATTAGAGGGGAAATGATTTGTCAGCATCCTTCATCCCCGTAACTTCAACCCCCTACCAGGGAAAAGCACAACCCCTGGATTTTGAATATCAATGATGGGAGTTGTGATTCCCATTTTTAAAATTTCATCGAGTACTATCTCTCCAATTTCGCGTGAAATTTTCATCGATAACGAAATGAGAGATAATAAAATACAATCAAATGGAGTTACTTGGGACAAATTCACTATCATTAGAGAATCGATTTGACTCGGTGAAACGTTGTTGAATATTCACGATTAACTGAGGTAAATCGAACTTTTTTGAGACGAAAAATAACAAATGAATAAATTACTTTTCGAATCCTACTCAAATAAGAATGATATTTTCGAGGTAAATTCGACAATGCCTCATCCACCATTTAATCTCTCTAATTTCGTTATCGATGAACATTTTTACGCGAAATAATAGGGTCGGATAGTAGTCGATGAGGTACTTATTCAAATTACGGGGGTTTTCTCTGGTAGGGGGTTGAATTCACGGGGATGACCAAGCAAGTAGGCCCCGATGGGCCCTTTTTGATAACCCCTGCTCTCCACATATATATATACGCTTTCTTCACCAAGATTTCCTTTACGAATCTCCCTGATCTTCTGATGAAGGCCAGTATGTCCGTCCACTCTAAAATGATCAACCTCTCCTGTTGGAGT